CTCGGCATGTCCTCCGCCCCCCATGCAAAAACAATGGAGTAGGCGCGGAGGGCGTTGGTGATGCCGGTCTTCAAGTCTTCGGGGAGCTGGGCTCCAATCTTCACGACTCTCCCCGGCTTGGCCGGATCGAGCGCAAAGTCTTCTACGTCCTCGGTCGGTTCATCCCTCGGCCTCTTCTCCTCCTCTTCAATAGCCCCAGTGATGGTGTCAACACGGAACTCAGTTTTGCTAACCTTCTTCGTCACTTGGAGGCATTTTCCCCCTGGTTGCCTTTATCATCTGGCCGAGGGCGTTGCTCATCGGGGTTGTGATGGCATTTTCCCACCTCCTTGGCCTCGGCGTATCCCCCCCCCCCCCCCCCGCTGTAGGGCCCTTATGTAATCGCGGTGGGGTTCGATGATGAGGCTCCTTGCGAAGTTTCTGGGGCGGAGCACTGTTTGGAGGAGGGCCAGGAGGGTCCCATCGTCTGCGCCATCAACTTTATCAGCCTCCGTCCTCCAGCGCTCCAAGAAGTCCCGAAGGGTCTCCTCTTTCCTTTGCGTCACCGTCAGCAAGTGGGAGAAGTGTTTTCTTGTTCGGTGCCTTCCCGCAAATTGTGTCAAGAGTCGCTGGGCGAGTTCTTGCCACGAGTCGATGCAGCCTTCGGGCAATCGGTTGAACCATTCGTAAGGCGGCCCCTCCAAGGTGGAGAGGAACCAACGACACAAATACTCATCCGATGCCCCCACCATCATCATACTGTTTTGGTACCTGCTGTAGTGCTCCCGGGGGTCAGTTTTTCCGTCGTAGATCCTGATGAGTTGCCCTCAGTATTTTTCCGGGATCCGGGCCGCCAATACCCTTGGGGTAAATGGCGTCTGGGTCCGGAGTTGTATGGTGGGTTCCCCGGAGCCCTCGGCTATCTTCTTTTGCATTTCCTCCATCTTGGCCAACATGGCCTCATACTTCAGGTCTACATGAGGGGCAGAAGCGGTGGCGCGCGCTTTGGTGGCCTCCATCTCGTCAAGCCGGCGCTGGAGGGCCACAATGATCTCGTCCCAGGGGTCCTTCGGGAGGGCCTCTGCCCCCTGCGAACGGACATGGGCCGAGTGGGCCTGGTTTATGTGGTGACGGGCGTCGTCGGCATGGAGAAGTGCCTTGCCTTTGTCCTGAGGGGGACGTCTTCCATCCTCCCGGGAAATGGATCCGCCACTTTCCTGAGGCCTTTGGAGCGCCTTTTCCCCGAGGCGGTCTTGGACCCCTCGGCGGTCTTGCGCCCATCCGAGTCTCTCGAGGGCGGAGGTCCGGGGTTGTTCCTTGTTCATGTTGTGGTGGTCCCGGGATCGGACTTCCTGGGAGGCCGTGTCTTGGGCCACGACCCCCTCAACGTTCCCAATCCGAAGGACAGGGTTCCCGAGGGGGTGTGGATGAGGGGAAGGCATGATGTTTTCCCCGACCTGAGGTTGAAGGGGAACCAAAGTGCCGAAGGCACCCGGGTTCTGGGTGAGTGTTTGGATGAAGGCGGAAAACGCCGACTGTACGTCGATAGTGATGACCGGAGGGCTAACTTGGTTTTCGCTTCATTCCTTCCTTTTGGCCTCGATGCTGAGGCGGGCATCGGGGGCATTTTGTTGAATCTGAAGGCGTAGGTCGACAGCCGTCTGATCCAACCCGGCGATGACGCCGCCCCCGGGAGCCCTGTTAGAGGCCTCGGGGACGTCGAATTTGCCGAGGGCCAGGTTCCTGTCGGTTCCTGTCCTCAACGTTCTTGGAGTTGGCACGAGTTGTTCTTACCATTTTCGATAGTTGTTTTGTGTTTTTCCGAGAGGGAGGGTTTCTCACTTGATTGTTCGACCTCTCAATGAGAGCATCAAATGATGGATAGTCTACCCGGGGGTATGTATCTGAAGGGTTACTGCGCAGAGTAACTGGATAGAAGTCAGAGCAAGTAAGAGAGAGAAAGTGTATTGAATATATGAGTTCAAAGCGTATTCCGAATCTGGTTTACAAAGGGGAAATGGGGTGCTATTTATAGTAGCAATAAATGTGAGACGGGGACACGTGTCAAGCATCCAACGGCCGAGGGGTCACATCAACCGGGTGTCACTGGCATTCACATGTGGCCGCATTTAATGCGGCGGTTGGATGTGACATTGTACTTGGTACGGCGACCCAGGCGCATGTGGAGAGGATATTCTTGTCGAGGAAGGTACCCTCGACTGTAGATGATTAGCCGAGGGCTCTTTCTGTCGAAGGCCCCTTAAGGCTGAGGGCCCCAGGTGCCGGGGGCTACTATTTTTCGCCGTTTTCTCCCAGTGACTTTGTATGCTAAAAATAGCCTTTCCGTGAGTATCTGGAGCCTTCGGCCAAGGGGCCGAAGGCACCCCCAGTGTGCATTGTTGGCTGCTTGGTACTCGGGGCGCTGTGATTTGGGCCTGTTGTGCTTCCTGAGCCTATTGGGCCTTGATTAGAGCAGTAGGAGTCTATGGGCCAGGGGTCCCTGGGCCATATACTCCATCAAAGTCGATAACCAAGCTACACCCATCCTTTTGGGAAGACATTTCTTTAAAACTGCCCAAACAAAAATAGACGTGTCTAATGGTTCATTAACGTTAGAGTTTGATGACCAAAAGGTAGAATTCAACATCTTTGATTCTACGAAAAAACAATTTAAAGACCAATCTCTTTGTTCTCTAAATGTTTTTGAACCACAAACACCGAACGTTTTTGTTGAAAAAGAGGCTAAGGAGATCTCACTTTTCAAAGAAAGAATTGAACAAGAAAAATCTATTTCGAAAGAAAAGTCACCTAAATACGATATTAAATCACCTGTGATTGAGGTGGTAACAAAGAAGAAATCTCGGCCTTACTGGAAAAGGCCAAGGAAAAAGAATGAAACAAGGGATGTTCACGATCCCACATAAAAAAAACGTCGTGCCACGACATTAAATAAGGCGCTTCTTGGGAGGCAACCCAAGTTTGTATTTTGTTTATTTTCATCTATTTCTGTGTGTGTGTGAAAACCTTTTCAAAAAAAAAATCGGTGAACCTGGCTAGGTTCCAACTCAACACGGTCGGATTGCATCATAAAAACCCACACCCGGCACACACCCGGGCGAGCCAGGCCAATTTTTTCAGTTAAAATGATTTTCACCTGACCGGGTTTGCTATTTTACCCATCCGGGTGAATCTAATAAAAACAGCCGTAACTAAAACAATCGCCCGGGCAAATATTTTTTGGCAAAACCCGGCCCCTGGAGTAAATTACCCGACCGGGTACCTTTAATACACCCGGCCGGGTATTTTTGACAAAAACATTCTGGATAAGCGGGAGTTAGGCCCGACCGGGTACACTACCCCACTCGGCGGGGCGTCGGGAATGTTTCCACAAAAACCGAGATGGCATGCTCTTCTTCCTCATTTCATCTTCTGCGAACACGAACCAACTCCGCCAAAACACCATTTTCAAACTCCATACATTTGAATCTACTCCGTTTCTACGCCAAATCCATAAAAAAAAACCATTTTCTTCATCTCCTCATCACCCTCTTCACCATCACACCCACAAAAAAAAACTCCCAAATAACCAAATATCCAAATCCCCTTACTCCACAAACAACAAAAGCCAAAATTTCATCAACCAAAAAGAAAATAAATGACACCAAAAAGGGCAAAGGGATTCATTCTATTGGTCATCTCGGACACAAGCACTAGGGACAGTGCTTTGATTAGCTTGGGGGGAGAGTTTTATGGAATACTCACATTCATAGTCTTATTAAAAAAAATTAATAAAAGCTTGTTAAGTTGAAAACCTGAAAGGGCAACTTAAGCAAAAATAAAGCAAAAATAAGAGTGAGTTATGAGGATTAAAATAGAAAAATGTGGGAAGCTAGGATGAAAAACCGAAAGGGCACCTAGGCAAAATGAGAGAATGAGATAAAGTATTTTCTTTTATTTCTGATGGATCCTAACGGTAACGGAAAAAAAGAGAGTTGAGGTTGAATTAAAAATATGGAGTTGAAGACCCCTATTTACTGTTATATTTTTGGGGATACACTTTATGTGTTTCTAAAACACTCTTGGATTTTTGTGTTGATACTCTTGTCATTTTAAGGACTTTTTGGATTGGATTTGGTTTACTCGAGACGAGTAAAGGTTTAAGTGTGGGGGTATTTGATATGCACTAATTAGTAGTGCATAAATGTATATTTTCATGATTGATTTGTGTGTATTGTTTACCGTTTTATTTAGTTTGTAAACATTTGTGTGAATTTAGTTTTAATTGTATTTTAATCTTCATTTATAAGTTGTAAAGTAGAATTAGGAATTATGGTGTTGAAAAGGAGGACTTTGAAGTGAAGAAAAAGGAGATTGGACTATCCAGGAGCTGAAACCCGACCGGGTAGAAGACTTCACCCGGTCGGGTCTGATTTAACAGACGAAATTTCTTGGAAAATCACTAGACCCGGTCGGGCCCACTACCTCACCCGGTCGGGTGAGAAGTGACCGGGGACAATCCGGCGTGCGAAGATGATGTACTTGTATTTTACACACTTTTTAGGCTTAGTTTGTTGTTAATTTTAGTTATTAAAATTCTACTTTTGTACATATTTTTATAATTTGTCGTTAGTTTGTACTTGTGCAGTCCTACACGGGTATTTTGTATTTTCAGGTACTTTTGATGCTATTTGGATACATTAGAGTGAACAAAAGAAGAAAATAAAAGTTCAAGTTGGAGGTCAATAAAAGTGGAATTTCCTTCAAAACAAATAAGGAGTAAATTGAAGAAAAGAAGCAAAAATAAAAATGGTGGAGCTGGGATTCGATCCCTGGAGAAAGGGTAGAAGAATGTCTACTACAACCAGTGTGCTAGGTGATCAATGTCGTACATATTCAGCTGGCAATTGTTATATTCCTTCTGAACGCGGCAAAGAAAAGAACAAAATGTTGAAGCCAAGAATCGATCCCACGATCTACGAGTTTTCCCCTGAAGTGCTTATCCGTTGAGCTACCTGCGACTGTTGAAACTTTACTGCGCTTTGTTGTACATAAACTCATCTGTTCCGTAAATCCCAGCAATTAATGATTAATCACCTTATCATTATATTGCCTTAATCCATCTTCCTCCACACATAAGCTCGGACCAACCTCTCTCTAAACATCCGAGAAACATTTCCTCCTCCTTCTCTCTTCATTTCTCAACCCCAAATCATCAACCCATCTTCAACCATAACTAATCACTTTCTCATCCAAGATTAAGTCAAGATTAGCATCAAAGCTCCAAGGATTGTCATCTATCACAAGTTTGATCTTCCTTATCTCATTAAATCTTGTATTTTAATCATGGATTCATCTATTTCTATGTTTCCCAACATGTATAGCTAAATAAATTTGGGGCTAGAAATTGGTTAATTAATTGTTCTTATCATGTTTTAATTTGTATTGATTTTAATTGTTAAGTTTGTTCTATTTAGATTGTTGTGTCCAGAAAATTAATTATGTCGTGTTTGTGATATATATTATGAGTACTCAATCATAAACATATTGTTTGTTAAATACACAAATGAACACTTTCTGAACACACCGTTAAACTTCTTTTACCTTGTCCCGGATTGAAGTTTTACGGGAGAATTTAATTATTTAATTATATTATTTACACCACGGGGTTGGGTAAATAATATAGTTAATAATTAAGGTTGCCGTTGCACTTAAACAACTAGTCTCATTTTGGCCATCACTGGGAAATGTTGACTAGTTACTTATTTTAGGTGACTTGTGTTGGGTCCTAAAATATTTATCTACAACTTCTCACAATCTATCTAAGAATAAAATTAGCAATTATGTCTTACAAATGAGCATTGAACAATTAGTTGCCAATTTCTACCCCTACTTGCTATTGGTTGAACTTTGTGTTGATAAAATCTCTTCTCTCAATCACTTTTATTTAATTATTTTTCCAAGCAAACAAAAATCAAAAGAAACGCATTCCCAACTTTAATCCTTAGTTTGTGCTTAATTATTTTATTTCCCGCTTCTCTGTGGTTCGACACCCTACTTGCTTGGGTAAAAAAAAATAGTTGTGTGCCCATTATATGCTACACACCAACTTGGCGCCGTTGCCGGGGAAGCGGTTTTGAAAAAAAAAAATTGAGAGCATAAACTTTCGATTTTAGTTATTGTAAATTGTATGTATATTATTCTGTTGTTATCTTTTTACCTTTGCAGGTTAAAAAAAAGTGATTAATTAAAGTTCAAAAAAAAAATCAAAAAAAAAAATCAAAAAAAAAAAAAATGGACTGTGATTAATCATCTTACCTGAGCATTGGAGTTGGACTTGTTGACCGAACATATCTGGACATTCAGACCATTGAACATATTTTTACATTTTAATTAAAAGGATACTCCGCCTATATGGTCGGACCGCTTACTTGTACATTATAATTCAAAGGATACTCCGCCTATATGGTCGGACCGTTTATTTTTCTTTTTATGGTGGTTCAAACCCCAACTTTTTAATTTCTGCACTTTAATTATCGCAATTTAATTTGTGCACTTATATTATCGCAATTTAATTTCCGCACTTTAATTTCAGCATTTTTTTTAAATTTTGCATCCCCAAGCTTGTAGGCCGTGTCAACTTGTTGGTGGAGTGCACTTTTTATTTTTATTTTTTTTTCTTAATAATCCCCATACTGTCGGCATAGCTGCATCTTGGTGGAGACTGTATTTATTACTGTGGCTATTTTTTTTTCTTCCCTCAAATCACCATATCTGTCGGCCTAGCCGCATCCTGGTGAATTACTGTATATATTCATACTGCTTTAAGGACTCACTAGTCTTATTCGGTTTATACCAATTGACTACGTGCGAACCTTAATTAATTAATTAATTCCGCATTTATTTTTTCTTTTCATCTCTCTCTCTCTTTCCCCAATCCCAATTCCCTTCTGCTTATGCTCACACGTTCACGTGGTGCGAATTGTGAATTGTTATTCTTCTCTAACATTGAAAAGCACATACGTGAACAGAAAAAAATAAAAAAAATGTCAAACGATATTGTTGTTAATGAGCAGGTACCCGATCAACAAATCGTGGATCAGGTTATGAGGACCAGAAAAACGCTGTATGATTATGTTACGCCTCCCGTGGATGAGCATGACAGTGTTATTCCACCAGAGGTTAACATGAATCACTTTGAAATCAAGCCTGCTATCATTCATATGGTTTCAAATACTCAATTTGGCGGAGCGCCAACGGAGGATCCAAATAATCACATCACAAAGTTCCTTCGAGCTTGCAACACCTTCAAAATCAATGGTGTACCAACTGATGCTGTCAGACTACGCCTGTTCCCATTCTCTCTACGGGATCGAGCTCAGAGTTGGCTTGACTCTTTTCCAGATAATCACTTCTCCACTTGGGATCAACTTCATGGTGAATTTCTCAAAAGATTTTTCCCGCCATCTAAAACGGCGAAAATCCGAAGAATGATTCAAAATTTCAAGCAAAATCCCAATGAGCCCCTCTACGAGGCTTGGGAAAGATTCAAAGATTTTCAGCGACAGTGTCCACATCACAACATCCAAAACTGGCACTTGATGACGGCTTTCTATGAAGGCCTACATGAAAATTCTCGGATACTCGTGGACGCGTCAGCAAATGGATCACTCATGTGCCTGGAACTTGAAGAGGCAGAAGAATTGATGGAGCGTATTTCATCAAATGGATCAACATGGTATTCTGAGCGATCATCTGCTCCACCAAAAATCGGAGGCATGTATGAAGTTGATCAAATGTCGGCCATAACCACAAAGGTCGATAGCATGATGAATCTTATCCAAAAGATGGCACAAGTCTCTCTTGTGCAAAACTCAACATCAACTCTAGCTCCCATTCCCGTTCTAATGTGTGAATCTTGCGGTGGACAACACAATCAGTCTACTTGTCCATGGGAAGCAATGGAACAAGTTGACTATGTCAACTACAACAGGCAGCCCCAACAAAATCAATTTGGTAATTTCAATCCTCAAGGAAGAAACCATCCCGGTTTTTCCCGGAGCAATCAAAATGGAGCTGCTAATCCACAACCATCTTATCGGAGTGCACCACCCGGTTTCCAAAACCAACAACAGCAATTCAGAGGTGGCCAAGGTATTGTGAACCAACAACACTATAAACCCACTCAAAATCTTCCATACCCTTCAAGTCAACAGCAAAAACCACTTCTCCCCACTCCTGAAACAACCCAAACTCCTGTCCTAGAAAACATTGTTGACCAACTTCTCAAGTCCCAATTATCTCAAGCTGAAACCCTGAAACAAATCACCGAAGAACTTGGTCAACTTCGAGCTCACAACAAGATGCTTGAGAATCAAATTGCTAATCAAGCATCCACATCATCAACTAAGGTGACAGGTAAGCTTCCTGCTTGTCCTGAAAACCCTAGGGAGCAAATCAATGTCGTCACTACTCGGAGTGGGAAACAACATCAATCCTCGCCCCGTTCTAGTGATGAACAAGAACATGAAGTGTTGGAGGAAAGGGCCGAGCAACAACAGAAAGGTGGAAACAACAACAATGAACTTGATGTCGGTACCATGCCGAAATCATCTGATGATCGTGAAGGGTCGAAGAAAGAAGGAGGCAGTTCGGTAAGGAAATATATTCCCCCAGTTCCTTATCCGAACAGGTTGAAGAAAGCTAATATGGAGGAGCGGAGAACTAAATTTTTGAATGTTATCAAACAGTTGGATATCTCAATTCCTTTGCTTGATGCGATTACAGAAATTCCTTCATATGCTAAATTTCTCAAAGATATTCTCACAAAGAAGAAGGAGAATCCAGTCACTGTTGCAATGAGCCAAGAATGTAGTGCCATAATCCAAAACAAAATTACACCCAAGTTACGTGATCCTGGAAGCTTCTCAATTCCATGTATCATTGGTGGATCTAAAGTTAACAAAGCTCTTTGTGATCTTGGTGCAAGTGTTAGCTTAATTCCCTATTCACTATGTCAAAAGCTACACTTGGGGGATCCCAAACCAACAACAATGGCGTTACAATTGGCTGATCGATCTGTCAAATATCCTATCGGCATTCTTGAAGATGTTCCTGTCAAAATTGACAAGTATTATATCCCGGGAGACTTTGTTGTCTTGGATATGGAGGAAGATGCTCGAGTTCCTGTTATTCTCGGGAGACCTTTTCTAGCCACGGCAGGAGCAATTATCAATGTAAAAAAGGGTACCCTTATCCTTGAGATTGGGGATGATAAGATCGAATTCAATGTACAAGAGCTGAGTAAGGATACACCTTGTATCCTTGATGGTTACTATGTTGATGTTATAGACTCTTGTATCATAAAGACATTTGATAAGTCTTATTGGCTTTCTAAAGATCCCATGGAGTACACTATACGAGAATCTATTGCAGATGAGCAAGCCAATGAAATGGTGAATTTATGTCTCGAAATGTTGCAAAGCATATCTTTACCGATGCCTAAAGCACTTAAATTTGAAGTGCTTAATCTTGAAGATCAATCCTTGAATGTCAAAGGAAAAGCACCTGAAGTAGAACTCAAACCACTTCCATCTACTTTAAAATATGCTTTTCTTGGCCCGAATTCCACTTATCCTGTCATTGTGAATGCTGATTTAGATCTTCAACAAGTGGAAAGAATATTGCAAGTCTTACGAAGCCATCGCAGAGTTATTGGCTACACCATTGATGATATTGTTGGCATAAAGGCATCTTATTGCATGCACCGCATTTACTTGGAGGATGATCACAAGCCGAACATTGAGCACCAAAGACGCCTCAACCCGAACATGAAAGATGTTGTTAAAAAAGAAATTCTTAAACTATTGAGTTCGGGTATCATTTTCCCCATTTCGGACAGTAAATGGGTAAGTCCTATCCATGTGGTGCCAAAGAAAGGAGGAATTACTGTTGTAAAGAATGACAAAAACGAGCTGATTCCTACACGAATAGTCACTGGATGGCGCATGTGCATTGATTACCGCAAGCTAAACAAGGCTACTCGGAAAGATCATTTTCCACTTCCCTTTATTGATCAATTGCTGGAGAGGATGGCTAAGCACAAATATTTCTGTTTTCTTGACGGATTCTCTGGATTTTTCCAAATCCCAATTCATCCGGATGATCAAGAAATGACGACATTTACATGTCCTTATGGTACTTTTGCATATCGCAGAATGCCGTTTGGATTATGTAATGCACCAGGAACCTTTCAACGATGTATGCTAGCTATTTTCTCGGATCTTGTCGAGGAAATTATGGAAGTTTTTATGGATGATTTCTCGGTTTATGGGATTTCATTTGATGATTGTCTTGAACATCTTGATAAAGTGCTAAGCAAATGTGAAGAAGCAAATCTTGTCCTCAACTGGGAAAAATGTCATTTCATGGCAACCGAAGGCATTGTGCTTGGGCACAAAATTTCTGAAAAGGGCATTGAAGTAGACCCGGCAAAGATAGAAGTAATTGAGAAATTGCCACCCCCTTCTTCCATCAAGGGGATTCGTAGTTTTCTTGGCCATGCGGGATTTTATCGACGGTTTATCAAGGATTTTTCAAAAATATCAAATCCTTTAACCAATCTTCTCTCAAAAGATGTGGAGTTTAATTTTGATGAATCTTGCTGCGCCGCATTTTCAAAACTCAAGTTGGCCTTAACTACTGCACCAATTATTAGGCCACCTGATTGGAGTCTTCCTTTTGAACTCATGTGTGATGCAAGCGATTATGCCGTGGGAGCCATTCTGGGTCAACGCAAAGGCAAAGAAGTATATGCCATTTATTATGCAAGTCATACTCTTGATGATGCCCAATCAAATTATGCCACAACTGAAAAAGAGTTCCTTGCCATAATTTTTGCCATTGAAAAATTCCGATCTTACCTTATCGGTAGCAAGATTATTGTCTATACCGACCATGCGGCTATCAAATACCTCATCAACAAAAAAGATGCAAAACCGAGGTTGTTGCGGTGGATCTTGTTACTACAAGAGTTCGACATGGAAATCCGTGATAGAAAAGGATCTGAAAATGTTGTTGCCGATCATTTATCTCGACTTGAGATTCCTTGTGATACCAAGATGCCAATCAATGATTATTTCATTGGGGAACAACTTATGACTGCTCAAAATTTTGATCCATGGTTTGTCGATATTGCAAATTACCTTTCTCATGGGGTAATTCCACATGGTGCTACACATACTGAAAAGAAGAAGTTAAAATATGACTCCCGCTACTATCATTGGGCAGAACCTTTTCTCTATAGAAGGTGTGCCGATGGAGTCATTCGACGGTGTTTGCCCGAAGATGAAGTTTCAAATGTCTTGCACCATTGTCATTCCTCACCATATGGGGGACATCATGGAAGCTCTCGTACTGCTGCAAAGATTTTACAATCAGGTTTCTTTTGGCCCACTATTTTCAAAGATGCAAGCAAATTTGTGAAAAACTGTGATCGTTGCCAACGTACCGGTAATATTGGAAGAAAGAATGAAATGCCTCAACATGGCATACTTGAAGTCGAATTGTTTGACGTGTGGGGGCTCGATTTTATGGGGCCATTTCCAAAATCAAATGGGAAAGAGTTCATCCTTGTAGCTGTTGATTATGTTTCTAAATGGGTAGAAGCAGCTGCCACACAGACAAATGATGCCAAAGTGGTGATCCAATTCATTCAGAAAAATATTTTCTCCCGATTCGGAGTTCCACGATCTTTCATCACCGACAATGGTACTCATTTTTGTAACAAAGCATTGGAACGTGTCCTTTCCAAATATGGGATTCACCACCGACTCTCAACTCCATACCACCCGCAAACAAATGGCCAAGTGGAACTTTCAAACCGAGAAATCAAAACAATTCTCGAGAAAGTTGTTAATCCTTCCCGAAAGGATTGGGCCGAAAAGCTTGATGATGCACTATGGGCATATCGCACTGCTTACAAAAATCCCATCGGCACCTCACCATTCAAATTGGTGTATGGGAAAGCATGTCACCTTCCTGTTGAGGTTGAACACAAAGCATATTGGGCAATCAAGACACTCAACATGGATCTTGCATTGGCGGGTGAGAAACGATTGTTGCAGCTAAATGAACTTGAAGAATTCAGACTTGCAGCTTATGATAGCTCAAAACTCTACAAGGAGAGAACAGAAGTTTTGCATGACCGGGTGATCAGCCGAAGAAAATTTGAACGGGGAGATAAAGTTCTTCTATTTAACTCACGTTACAAATTCTTTCCCGGAAAGCTAAAGACCCGATGGTTGGGTCCATTTGAAGTACTTGAAGCATTTCCATCTGGAGCAGTCCAGTTGTTAAACAAAAGCGGCCAAAAACTCATGGTAAATGGACAACGGTTGAAACTATACCATGATGGTGAGAGACAAGAGGCAACTTCTGTGTATTGCCTCACTGATCCGAAATATGAATGAAGAGGCATGGGTCAAGCTAATGACCTTAAACGAGCGCTTCTTGGGAGGCAACCCAAGTTTGTAAATTTAAAAAAAAAAAGAACAAAAAAAAAAGGCAAAAAAAAAATGTCTAGGTTTTTGTTTTTGGACTCTAAAGGGGCCACATCCGCTCGAAAAGACATCTCAACATCATCCGTCCGCAATTCAGGGAAGTTTTCTTTACACTCCTTTAATTTATTTTCCACTGAGGACAGTGCAAATTTTAAGTGTGGGGGAGTGGGTAGTTCGACCCTAATTTCTTGTGTGAATATTTTTTCTTTTTCCTTGCTTGTTTGTGTGATTTTATTTTCTTTTATTTTTATTTTGTGTGTTTGTTTAGAAAAGTAAAGACCAGTCTTGTCCAAAATACAACAATAGACAAACAACACATTAGTTTACACTTTTTGTTACTAGTTACTTCCATAACTTTTTAAAACTATTCATTCACCTCTTTTGACGAAATGTGGTTTGAGTTTGAGAAGTGTCACTATAATTTTTTGAGAGTAACTTAGTATTAGCTTTGAACTTGATTCTTTTTAACACTTTAACATTAAACACCTTAGATTTTATTTTTCCAATTTATTGGTTAATAGTTGAATTAGTGAAAGTTTATGCAGATTAAGATGTTCATACATTTATTCTCCTTGAAATTTTATTTGAACTTGACACATTTAGAAATGATTTAGGCCATCTTTGTTTACCCATGAAGTCAAACACTATCCCTTTGTAAATAAATAACACTTTCCCTAGTAACCTCGTTTCACCCTTTCAGTATACAAGTGTAAAATATCTTACTTCACTTGTTACTAATTCTTTTTTATTTGTAACCTTGTAAATACATAACCTTCTGAAGCCCTATCCAAAGTTAATCTTTTCTAATCCTAGAGTAGATTGTCTTGTTACTTAAGAGTGAATAAATGGAGCTACTATTAAGTGTCATATGAGTGAAGTACATATTTGTTTGTAAATTTTGGGGTTAGTTTTTCATTGTAATGTTCAGTGTGTGCTCTCTTTGAAAAAAAAAATCAAAAAAAAGAGAAGAAAAATTGAAAAAAAGAAGAAAAAAAAACAAAAAAAAAAACAAAGAGGCACATTAAATTCTTGTTGTAATTTCTTTTGTAAAACCCCATTTTTTTTACTTTTCATGTTTATATTTCTCATTGTTTTGTATGCTCCAAGTTGTTGTAAATTCTTATGATGATCCGCTCAGTATTAGTACAATCTAACTTTCTCTGTATATTCTTACACCAAACTTTCCTTCCAACTAGCCACACTCATTAATCTCGCCACTCACCGAAAAAAGTCCTAATTGATCTATTTGTGTCATTTTTTGAATTTAGCGGATTGGAGAAACTTGTTCTGCATAACCCGAACTAATTTAGATCTATAGGTGTTTGTGTTAAAAGTTTGATTTGAAAATCTTAGTGATAGGCAATAATACTCGGTTTACTCTCAATGCGTTATTTTGTGACATTTCAGGGCATTGGACCGTTTAGTGGACATTAGAGGTGGATATGTGATTTATTTAGTTATGTTCGTAAATCTTATCAAATTGTGTATATTTTTGTGTTTGTTGTTTGTTTTACTTGAGGACAAGCAAAAGCCTAAGTGTGGGGGATTTGATGTACTTGTATTTTACACACTTTTTAGGCTTAGTTTGTTGTTAATTTTAGTTATTAAAATTCTACTTTTGTACATATTTTTATAATTTGTCGTTAGTTTGTACTTGTGCAGTCCTACACGGGTATTTTGTATTTTCAGGTACTTTTGATGCTATTTGGATACATTAGAGTGAACAAAAGAAGAAAATAAAAGTTCAAGTTGGAGGTCAATAAAAGTGGAATTTCCTTCAAAACAAATAAGGAGTAAATTGAAGAAAAGAAGCAAAAATAAAAATGGTGGAACTGGGATTCAATCCCTGGAGAAAAGGTAGAAGAATGTCTACTACAACCAGTGTGCTAGGTGATCAATGTTGTACATATTCAGCTGGCAATTGTTATATTCCTTCTGAACGCGGCAAAGAAAAGAACAAAATGTTGAAGCCAAGAATCGATCCCACGATCTACGAGTTTTCCCCTGAAGTGCTTATCCATTGAGCTACCTGCGACTATTGAAACTTTACTGCGCTTTGTTGTACATAAACTCATCTGTTCCGTAAATCCCAGCAATTAATGATTAATCACCTTATCATTATATTGCCTTAATCCATCTTCCTCCACACATAAGCTCGGACCAACCTCTCTCTAAACATCCGAGAAACATTTCCTCCTCCTTCTCTCTTCATTTCTCAACCCCAAATCATCAACCCATCTTCAACCATAACTAATCACTTTCTCATCCAAGATTAAGTCAAGATTAGCATCAAAGCTCCAAGGATTGTCATCTATCACAAGTTTGATCTTCCTTATCTCATTAAATCTTGTATTTTAATCATGGATTCATCTATTTCTATGTTTCCCAACATGTATAGCTAAATAAATTTGGGGCTAGAAATTGGTTAATTAATTGTTCTTATCATGTTTTAATTTGTATTGATTTTAATTGTTAAGTTTGTTCTATTTAGATTGTTGTGTCCAGAAAATTAATTATGTCGTGTTTGTGATATATATTATGAGTACTCAATCATAAACATATTGTTTGTTAAATACACAAATGAACACTTTCTGAACACACCGTTAAACTTCTTTTACCTTGTCCCGGATTGAAGTTTTACGGGAGAATTTAATTATTTAATTATATTATTTACACCACGGGGTTGGGTAAATAATATAGTTAATAATTAAGGTTGCCGTTGCACTTAAACAACTAGTCTCATTTTGACCATCACTGGGAAATGTTGACTAGTTACTTATTTTAGGTGACTTGTGTTGGGTCCTAAAATATTTATCTACAACTTCTCACAATCTATCTAAGAATAAAATTAGCAATTATGTCTTACAAATGAGCATTGAACAATTAGTTGCCAATTTCTACCCCTACTTGCTATTGGTTGAACTTTGTGTTGATAAAATCTCTTCTCTCAATCACTTTTATTTAATTATTTTTCCAAGCAAACAAAAATCAAAAGAAACGCATTCCCAACTTTAATCCTTAGTTTGTGCTTAATTATTTTATTTCCCGCTTCTCTGTGGTTCGACACCCTACTTCCTTGGGTAAAAAAAAATAGTTGTGTGCCCATTATATGCTACACACCAGAAGATCACCAGAACGTGGCAAATATTTGATTTTGACTGATACCCGGTTGGGTATGGCACTTTACCCGGTCGGGTATCCGCACCAGAGTGTTGAAAACACCTATAAATAGCACACTTTTCCTTCACTTTTAATCATCCCTTCTTCTATACTCCTAAGCTCAGTTTAGAATAACATTTCTTATATTTTTATAGCATGTTTAGTCTCCAAATGAGGAGCTCTTTAATAAATAGCTAAACTTCCATTTCTTGGTTTTGCTCTTGAAACTTGTTGATTATTAAAGTTGTGAGTTATTTTCTTAATTTCTTCTCTTGATTATTAATTCTTCCCTTAATCTCATTCTATATTAATGTTGGAGAGTTGCTAAGTGACGATTAGTTAACGTTCCGACATTAATTACTACTAGAAACGATCAACGAACCGATGGTTAATCGTTGGTGGTTTCACAAGTAAGTAACTTCGGTTTATTAATGCACGGTCGTGGTTAATAGACTTAAGAGGGATCAATTTTGTTGGTTAAACCAAAACCGTTGTGTCGAGGTTATCAATCTCAATTGATTTCATCAAGGAGTTAAAAAGATTGAATACTACTATTATATCAGTATACGGCGTTGTTCTATATTTAATTAATAGTAAGGGTTATTAATGAACGGTCGTTGTTAATGACTACCCTCGATGAATTGGAGATACTCCTCGATTGAGTATTCGAGAGGGGATAAGTTATAGATATAACAAGGATCGACTAAAATATATCAAAAAGTGGAAAGTAGCAAAGCCAAGCCCCTTTTATTCTTGAATTAAATCTCATATAAGTCGTTCATCTTAGTTTGTTATTAAATCAAATCATTCAATCCAAATCCCCCCTTTATTTACATAGTTTTATAAAAAGAGAAGTATTCCTTTCCCTGTGGATACGAACTCTACTACACCTATACTACGTATAAGTGTTAGTATCGAATTATTTTGACGCACCGTGACAAAGTGCTCGTCAGGGCCTCAGCTTTGCTAGTTTGGTACGGGCTTCGTTCTCGGGCAGTTGCCCTGTAGTGATGAAGTCGATGATATCCGAGATCCAGTCTTCTGGTTTTTGTTGTATGTCCATGACGGGGCTGACGTGTATGCTTGAGAGGCTGAGTTCCTCTATCCTCGCGATCTTTGAGAGGTGTTCCGGAGACTCATCCGAGAGTTTGGATAAGATGTCGGCCTCGGAATTTTGAGCCCTCAGTATTTGAGTGATGGAGTGGGCCTCAAATACCTTGAGCAATTCCATGGCCGCTTCCCTGTACTGCTTCATTCTTCCCTCCTTTGCCTCATACTCGCCAGAGATCTGGCCAACTACTAGCTTAGAATCACATTTTATGTGGATCATCCTTGCTTTGAGGTTGGCTGCTAGCCAAAGGCCACAGAGGAGGGCCTCATACTCCGCCTCGTTGTTGGAAACTTTGAAGGAGAAGCGGATGGCGTAGTAGGCACGGAAGCCTTCGGGTGTGACGAGGACGACGCCTCCCCCACATGCTTTGGTGGACGAGGAGCCGTCAATTTAGAGGGTCCACCATTCGTCCAGGGGTGTCAGGGGATCCTCGTCGACCACGGATCTTGCCGTGCATTCTGTCACGAAGTCCGCCAGGGCCTCAGACGGATGTCTATGTTGTATTGGCTAAGGAAGATTGCCCATTTCACCATTCGGGAGGAGCTGGTGGAGCTCCTCATCAACGCGCCGAGGGGTTGGTGTGTGAGGACCTGGACCGGATGGGCTTGGAAGTAATGACATAGCTTCTTGACGGTCCAAACGATAGCTAGTACCGTCTTCTCCACAGGAGAATACCTGAGTTCTGCCTCCGTGAGGGTTTTGCTGACATAGAATATGGCATGTTGGATGTCGTCTTCCTCCCAGATTAGAACTGAGCTGATGGCCGCAGGGCTAACGCCAAGATAAAGATATAGTTTTTCCCCCACCTTGGGATTGGAGAGCACATGGGGTGAAGACAGGTATTGCTTTAGTTCTTCAAAGGCTTCTTGACACTCCGCTGTCCATTGGAAGGCGATTGTCTTTCTCATGATCTGGAAGAAGGGGAAGGCTTTTTCCGCTGACTTAGAAAGAAAGCGATTGAGGGTTGCTAGACGCCCCGTCAACTTTTGGACTTCTTTGACGTTGCGTGGATCATCCATGTTGATGATGGCCTGGATTTTCTCAAATTTGGCCTCGATACCCCTTCGGCTTACCATGTAGCCCAGAAACTTGCCTCCTTGCACGCCGAAGGTGCATTTCTTTGGGTTTAACCGGAGATTGAATTTTTGCATGATGGCGAAAATTTCCCAGAGGTTCCGGCATGGCTGGTTGATCGTTTGCTTTTGACGATCATGTCATCGACGTAAGCCTCCATGGTGCGCCCTAGGACGGCTTGAAAGACTCTGGCCACCATCCGGGTGTAAGTGGCGCCTGAATTCTTTAAGCCGAAGGCCATAACTAGATAGCAGAAGAGGCCTTCAGGAGTCATGAAGGCTATTTTCTCCGCGTCTTCCTCGTGCATGTAGATTTGGTGATACCCTCAGAAGGCATCGAGGAATGACATCATCTCGCAGCCTGCCGTTTCATCCACCAGCTGGTCAATGTTCGGTAGAGGGAAAGGATCTATTAGGCATGCCTTATTCAGGTCCGTGTAATCCACGCACATGCAGAAGGTGGGTGGTTTCTGCGCTAGGACCACATTAGCTAGTCATGAAGGGTATTTTACCTCCCTGATGTGTTTGATGGAGAGGAGCATAACGACTTCCTTCTTCACGAAGTCCCTCCTTCTGGCTGAGAGGGGTCTTCTTCTTTGCTGCACAGGTTTCGAGGAAGGGTCCAATGCCAGGCGATGAGTGATCACCCTTCGACTGATTCCAGGCATGTCCTCCGGTCCCCATGCAAAAACAATGGAGTAGTCGCGGAGGGCTTCTGTGATGCCAGTCTTCAAGTCTTCAGGGAGCTTGGCTCCAATCTTTACGACTCTCTCCGGCTTGGCCGGGTCGAGCGCAAAGTCTTCCACCTCCTCAGCTGGTTCTGCCCTCGGCCTCTTCTCTTCTTCTTCTAATGTTCCGGTGATGGTGCCTACACGGAACTCAGCCTTGCTAACCTTCTTTGTTATTTAGAGGTAGCAGGCGCGTGAGAGCTTCTGGTTCCCCCTCGAGTACTTGATGCCTCCTTCGACTGGGAACTTGGGGCATAGGTAGGGATGGATTCGGGCTGGGTCGGGCCCGGTCGGGCCGCCGGTTCAAGAATAGTGGGCCCGGGACCGGCCCGAGGGTTGGACGGGTCCGGTTCGGGCCGGGCCACCCGCCCGGGTCACGGGTCGGGTCCGGTTCGGGCCGGGTTGGTTAATTTTTTTTATATATAATTTATATTTTATAGTTTATAGTTTTATACGAGTATTAAAAACAAACTTCAATTGCATTTATTTGAAATGAAATAAGAACTACATTTGAAAATTAAAACAAACTTTAAGAGATAAACATTTTGAAAATTGTAATCAATCGGAACTTCCCGCACCTCCCGATCCTTTGGCTTTGTCACATGACTTCATATGCTTGATTGCCATCCCGAATCCGCCTGAAGCCCCCATGTTACATTTTTTCTCGCACCATTTGCAAATTGCGTACCACATCCCGGTCTTCGGGTCCTTCTGCTTATCAAAATTATACCGTATAATGGCATCTTGATTTTCCATCTTAACTTCTTAAGTATAAACTATAAAGTAGATATATAAATAATAAATATAATATATTGGAGAATAAGAGAATTAGAGAGTAGAGAGTTAAGAATAGGATTTAGGAAGAATTGGAGAAGAGATATGAAAAAATGTTTAAGATTAGGAGTATTTATAGGTTTTTTTACCCCCCACCCCCCCACCAGCCAACCCCCCGGACCCCCCCTTTACCCCACCCAACGGCTATATAGCCGTTTGGGTTGTCCCCAGCCCCACCCCCAAGGCCCCAACGGCTAGTAGCCAAACCAAACAAAAAAAGTTTTTTTTTTAAAAAATAGACCCGGACCCGGGGCCGGGCCGGGTCACAAAAATCCAGAACCGAGCCTGCCCCCGTCCCTTCCCATCGGTTCGGGTCCATACCCGGTCCCGGACCGCCCGACCGGGCCGGTCCCGGGTGGCCCGAACCGAATCCATCCCTAGGCATAGGTGTTTCATGGAGATGATTGCCTCCAGGTCCTCGAGGGCAGGTCGGCCGAGGATGATGTTGTGGGCGCAATCTATGTTGACGACGACGAATTCCACTTCGACCTTGGCTCTATGGAGCCCGTCGCCGAAGAGTACCGGGAGGTATTTTACCCCTCGGAGTCTATGGTGTCTCTAGTGAAGCCGGACAGAGGGGTTTGGATGGGCCGAAGGGATCCCCTCTCCAAATGCAGCTCCTTGAACGTTCTGAGGTACATTACGTTGACGGAACCGTCCGTGTCAACGTAAGTTCTGTGGACAATGGTGTTATTGAACTCACTCTGGATTACTAACGCGTCCCTGTGGGGGAAGGAACCTGGGGGGAGATCGGCGTTAGTGAATATAATGGGCTCCTCCCTCAACCGCTTTACGGGGGGCATATGAGTAACTTCCCCTACGTAAAGGGATTGCGCCCACTTCTTTCTTAAGATGGTGGAGTCTCCTCCTGTATTGCCGCCGGTGATCATGTGGATGTGACGATTCTTCTCTTGGCACTGGTTGTACCCTTCTTCCTCGCTGAGGTTGCCAATCTCCCTTTTCTTACCTTTCGGATCACCGAGGGGGATGGTGTTTGGGTTAACCCAGCCGTTTGCCTTTGCAGGGGGCTTGATGAGGATACCCCTTATGAATTGGGATAGGTGGCCCCGTTCTATCAACTTCTCGATGGCTGCCTTCAGCTGGTGGCTGTCATCTGTTCAGTGGCCTAGGTGTTGGTGGAAACGGCAGTAGGGTTCCTCGGAGTTG